TCTCGGACCATGGATCCCAAAGGGGAAAAAAAGGAAGATAGCTGATGAGAAAAGAGGATTCATAGGATGGACCGAATTATTTTCTTTCATTATCAATGCGGAACGATTGCCTGCATTTTTGCTTTGTAATGAGAGGTTGGCAAAAAATAAAAATAAAAATTTGGAAAGGCATTTCCAGGGAAGGCAAGCTAAATATGCAGCCAACAACCAAGCTGGGAGGGAGAGAAAAATGGTGATTGCAGAACTTCTGGATAAATTAGAGGAGAGCAAATGTAGATTTAAGAAGTGGATTACATCTCCAAACTCCACTACTGCTGCTAGTTTTGTTGCAAGGATGGAAAACCGTCCACAGATATCAACAGGTGGAGCTCTGATGCAGAGATGGGAACTTTCTTGCATTTTTCCCCCAAATCCTAACTATAAATCACACCAAGGAGTGCTGGGATGGGGGATTTCAGGGTTAGAGAGCTCGGCTCTGATGGGTGTCAGTTCCTGCTTGGTTCCTCATGACTCAATCAACTCCTCCCAACAGAAACACGTCCACCATAGAAAGATTCCTTGATCTTGTTTCTATAAGATCAAGGAATAAGAGATGCAACAAAACTTAAACCATGCGGTGAGAGCGTTCACTGCTCGTCCCTCACCTCATGCTGCTATGTGACATTTGCTCCAGGATAAAGATTTAATCGTGAATGCTTATTATATATTTAAGCCCACATAGTCATTTTCTATAGTTGGTTAATACACTTAGAGCCCGTGTTTCCATACGAGGCATGTATAAGACTTTTACATTTTTGCGGCTCTAGACAGATTTATTTTTTGTTTATTTGGTCCAATATGGCTCTTTGAGCAGTTTGGGTTGCCGACCCCTGCTCTAAGAGGAAGCAATTGATGACAAGCAGCGATAAAACAAAATAATGTGTGATTTAGTGGTCCAGATCTTCTAATTCTGGTTTTCTCTGTCTTGGGGATAAACCATTAGAAACAAAAATCACAATTTCCAGTGAAAACTACTCAGGTCTTGTTAGTGGACAATGTCTGCAACATGATATTTACATCCAACTGGGCAACAGACAGGTATTCAGGTTACAGTGTCTGGCAATAATTAAACAATGTTAAGCTTTTTCACATCTTTTATAAGTTCCAACCACAAACGACCGTATATTAATTTTGGTAAATGCATTTATGCAACTTTGTCGCCTCTTGACGGGGACTCCCTTGAAAAAGAGTTTTTTTTTTCAACTCAATGGGATTTTTTTTCCAGGTTAATTAAAGTTTAATAACTTAAAATAATTGGGAGAGCATAATAATAAACTGTAAATCTGTAAAGTGTGCTCTCCATTTGTAATTAGCCCCCTGAAAGAGTTGCAGTTACAGGTGCAATTTTTTTGAGTGTATGTCTTTATCATATTAGCAGATCTAGACAGGACATCAGTTGCCTGTTCTCATTTGCAAAACATGCTAGACTCATTCAGACAGGATAAAGGGCATCACATACGAATAAATGCCAAAGATTGATAAAGGCTTTTTTTTTTTTTCTCTTTTCCAAGCCACTGACAGATTTTAGCTTGTTTTTTTTCTATATCCAGGCATCTATCAACTCTGTCCAGCTTCAAAACAATGGAAGATAGACAGGGAATTATTGAGGAGTATACAGAAGCAACTTAATGTCAAGATAAGACAATGCAAGTGGGCATACTGTACAGGAGGAAGATGGAAAGCAAGCTCCAGTAGAATGATCTGTTGTCAGGGTTGAAGTAGATTACAGGCTTCCAGCAGAAGGATGATCAGACAGATGGAAGTCTAGACAGAGCAAATTAAAGCTGGAGTCTGTAAGTTTTTAAAAATCACTTTTTTGTCATATTGGCTAAAACTGTCCCTATGCCCAGACAGCAGTACATGTGATATGTAACCTGTAAAAAAAAATGCTTCAATTGGTACCGCCTACTGCCTGTATTTCAATCTGGAAAGAATAATTCGGGACGAGTCAAACAACCAATCACAGCCAGAGGAGCGTCTGATGGAGTGTCAATCACAGCTCACACACGCTGAATCCCCCCCCCCCTTTCTGGTGGCATGCGGTAGCCGCGCAGATGCTGTGAGAGGGGTGGAGCTTGAGTGAAGCAGAGAGGGTGGGGGAGTGGTGTGAAACCTGTTTTTCTTCAAATTTTCAGTTGAAGTCTGCTCTCTCCTCAATGTTACAGACTGCAGCTTTAACTGATCATTGTTTTAAACAAGAATTAGCCTGACTTACTCTTGAAAAGTCCTTGAAAATAAGGAGGCCGGAAGAGTTTTGGCTGTGAATTCAAACGGGTCTACCTGTTTCTCTGCGGCTTTCTCCACCATACGCTCTATTCACATACTTGTATTATATTAAACTGAACTTCCAATATTCACCACTCCGCTTCAAGACCATTTCCTCTTATAATGGAGCAGCCGGCTTGCTTGGTCTCATAAGCAAGCCGGCTTGGTTATCCCAAGCTATCCTTGGGATAACCAAGCCGGCTTGGTTATCCCAAGCTATCCTTGGGATAACCAAGGACAGCTTGGATACATCGGACCTATCCTTCAAATCGGGCTAAAAGAAGGACGCATTTGTAGGCCGCATAACGAGGACCCTTGGAATCCGACCAGACCTCAGCGCCACGTATGACTTAATCGACCTTTTAATCTGGCCTTCGGAGGACGCAGCCCATGAATTCAAACAGAGCCTCAGATGGAGGCATCAATAATCACCTGGATCAAATACTACCTGACAAATAGACCACAGTTTGTTAGATTGAAGGGTTAACTGTCTAGTCAAGTAGTTAGCAGCACGGGAGCACCACAGGGGACGGTACTCTCACCATACCTTTTAACTCCTCTAACATCCAGTACCAGACTGATTTCTGTCACCAGCTGAAATACCTGGATGTCTCTACATTCTTTGGTTGCATGAAACATGGCAAAGAAACTGAGTACAAAGAGCTAGTGAACCGTTTTTGGCATGGTGTGGAAACAATCATCTGATCGTGAATATCAAAAAAGCAAGGGAGATTATTGTAGATTTTAGAAGAAAAGTTAACAAGCTAAATCCTGATAACAAATTAGGAGAAGAAGTGGAGGTGGAGGAGTATAAATACTTCGGTGTTTACCTGGACAACAAACTGGACTGGAGACACAATTGTGAAGCTTTCTACAAGAAGGGACAGAGCAGATAGTGCTTCCTAAGGACGCTTAAGTACTATGGTGTTTGCAACAAGATGCTGCAGATCTTCCACTGTCTGTTGTGGAGATATGATCTATTCTTCCATCACTTGCTGAAGTAACGGCATCAGAGCAAATGGCTATAAGCAGCTCAAAAAGCAAATAAAGAAGGACAGCTCTCTTCCAGTAACATAGAACATATGGAGATGAATTCTTCATAAGATGAAGAACATTATGGACAAAAGTAACCATCCTCTTCAGGAGATTGTTAAATAACAACAGGGTCTTCAGTAAAAGGCTTCACCAGATCCAGTGCAGCAACTTGTTTAAAAAACAAACAAAATAAAGCTTCTTTTTTTTTTCAAAACAAAACCAGGTAACTATATTAAACATGCTTGGATGATTGTTGTACATCTTAAAGGCTCCTTCACAATTCAATTTATGTAGCTAATCGTAAGACATCCAGGTGTTAAATGGTTGGTAAAGTCAGAGGAGAGAAATCACTTCCTGTACTATCAACATTGCAATTTACAAGTTTTGATGGAGCAGCACAAACCAATCCATCTGAGGCCAGTGAATTGTTTAAATGAGGGTCTGCACCCTTGGCCCTCTTTTTGCCGTCCTCAGATTAATCAAAATACAGGAGATTATCTATTATCTGGAGCTGGATAAAATAAAATGCATTCTAGAAGGCAGGGTATGACTGAACTCCATTGATTGTCAATTAATGCATTGCAAACTTGTTTAATCTGCAACTAACAGATACATTCTTTATTTTAAATACAATTGCACTGCAATGATTGTGACTCAGTGGGAAATGTTTCTGCTTTTGGTTGTCTATACCCTATCTGTGTATAAATATGTGGTTTGAAGGAGTGACTGGCTTGAATGGATTATAGTGTAAAGTGCTTTGATTGGCCAGGATGGCATACAGTATGAAAGGAGCTGTGTAAATTGAGTCCATTTGTCAAAGACTTTACAGCATTTCTCCTTTTTTTAAATATGATTTCCTATGAGGGCTTAAAAGCCCACTGTAGAGACATGATGGTTTCCAAAAATTCTTATTTTTTTCAATAACGTGTTGCCCTCAGGAGCCAAAGCTTGGGACAGTGTGGGAAGTCCCATGAGAGTATTATTATTATTATTATTATTATTATTATTATTATTACAGTGTGAATATCACAAGCAGTCTTTTATTTCCTCATTTATTTTATGATCCATCTCAGCATATACTGGGCTAAAAAAAATCACTGTTTGCAATTCAATGACAATCTGATAAATTAAAGTTATTTCACACAATGTACAGAAGAGGTGGATTATTTTACATACAGCAGGAGGAGTTGGTCCCTGTCCAGCACACAGGCCGACCAGTCCCCTCTGAGCAAAGGACTCACAGTAAACACTGGTGCATCCAGCAGTTAAATATTAATAATAATAATCGCCCCTCATATCTGCACTGCACATAGATCAATCAAAGGCAGCGGATCATGTGGGTGTGGACCATGGGACTCACTAAACTGATGCTACAGCCGCCGTGGTGACAGAAAGCACGGAAGGCCGGGAGGGGGGCAGGTTAAATGCACCCCCATGCTGGTCTCAGCAGCTGAGCTCCCCTGTGAGGAGAGAGAGGAGAGAGGGGGAAAAGGAAGGGCGACAACCTGCCGTGTTCCCGATCCTGTCCGCTGAGCAGGACGCCGCAAATCAAACCTCTGCACGAGGCAGGAACAAAACCTTCAGCGGTGTTAATGATGGAGGAGGAAACGAGGCTTCATAAAAAAAAAAAAAAGCAAGAAAGAAACGTGCATCTTACTCACCTTACAGTCTTCTTTCCATTTTTTTTTCTCTCTCTCACTCCAATCAACGAGCCGCTGGAGCCGCCAGTGACGTCACGAAACCCCTCTCTGCTGCAGAGAGCGGTAGGCCTGCAGAGGAGGACCAGACCCAAGTAAGGCAGAGCATTATTGTATTTAATCAAACAACACACTCCATTCACCCAAAGAACTTTAATTGAAAAAAATGAATAAATAAAAGTTAATCCTTAAAGGTTCTAGTTTTTACTATTCCACAAATGGCAACAGTCCATATATGAGGTGGATGCAACGTGGATACACCATAATTTTCTCCAATTAAATAAAAACAAAACTGAGACAATACTCTTCGGACCAAGGGAGGACAGATCCAGAGTATAGGTACTGAGAAGAGGTCTGTGGTCCTCACCTGCAGAACCCCATTCATTAAGCATGTCTTGCTAATTGCCATCAATTTCCACCTGTTGTCTTTTCCATTTGCACGACAGCATGTGAAATTGATTTTCAATCAGTGCTGCTTCCTAAGTAGACAGTTTGCTTTCACAGAAGTTCTAGTGTTTTTTTACGTGTTCCCATTATTATTTGTGTATTATATATACTGCACAAAAATAAGTAATAAGAATAATTAAGATATATGTTTGTATTGAAATGTTTATTTTTGTAAATTATTCACTTTTGATTCTCCTTATGTTGATTAATTGCTAATAGACTAATGTGTTTTTGAAACTTAATTTTTGTTCATTACAAATTTCCACCCACTACTGATGAGACCAGCATATTTAAATTAGAGCAACAATAAAATTGCAGCATAAATAAAGCCTTAAGGAAACATGGTTTACAACCTACTCAAAGCTTTTTGGTTTCAAATGGCTAAAGTTCAGATATCTTAAATGTTTAATGTAGACAGAACAAATGGAAGCAACATTTTTTGCTTTGACCTAAAAAAGTAGATTGACGATTACATGCTTTTAAGATTGCTTTAAGAGATATAATATAAAACAGCTTGCCATAGTCTTTTAGGCTTTTAGGAAAGGCAGAGTAAGAAAGCAGAGTGCTTAAAAGCAATTCAGCTTTCCTTAATAAGGAGGATATTTGAAGATAGATGGATTACATCTGTACATAACGTCAGCTACAGATAGAGGGAAAAATGCAGACTGAAATTTCTATTGCATTACATTACAAATAAGACAGCCTGGTGTTGTCTGGACGGTTTTCTATACTTATATAATAAAGATTGAGCAATAAAGGCAGTTTGAACTTCTGTTTAAGGGATGATAAACTTGTTGTCTGGTGTTCTAAGATGATAATAATAAATTTATAGTCTTTACAAATTGTAAAACTAGAAAGAGAAAAAAACTAGAAGAGAAAACAAGAAAAAAAACATGCATACTTGAGGAGGGATAATGCCAAAGAGATACATAACTAGGAAGATAGAAAAAAGGCCAAAATTAAACAGACATCACATTAATGAGACACAGGAAAAACACAGAAAAAGAATTATAATGAAGTCTTTAATTTTATATTGATAATAATAATAAAATTATTAAATCTACATCTTATCAAAATTTTAAAGAAAGAGTCATGTTCCTGTCAGCGATTCCAATGAGAAATGTATTGCAATAGACCATTCTGAAGGAGACAAAGGCATGGACAAGCTTTTCAGATAGGGAAAATGTTTGCTGGAGTTTTGTAATTATTTGGAGTTAGAACATTTTATTTTACACTTTTGCTTGTTTGGGTTTCTGAAGGTGAGTTGTGGATCACAAAGCCCAACAAGATTGGTGGCTGCCCTGCAAAGAAAAGTATTCTGCCTCGAGAAAGTAATACTTATAATGTTTTTTTGTCTTTGGATTGATATTAAATTAAAAAATGAATTACTCATGTTTCTACTCATTAAAAAGGAGAATGTTTTCCTACATCTTTCCCCTTCTATCTTTCAGGTATGCTGTGACTGTGGATAGTGAAGACAGTGGGACAGGTTGATGATGGAGATGGGTGGCTGGGGGCCTCAGATAGCTGAGATTTGTAAGCATGACAAATTAACTTTGAGTCCCGGAAAAGATCACTAGGGCACATCACCAAATTGGCTCAGTGACCTAGCATGTATGATTGAAACCAATTCTGGGGAGTGCCAGTAGGCCCTACGGGGCAGTGTAGGCCCCAGGGAAAGATGCGGTTTTAAAGGCTATGTACACATACAGGTGCTGGTCATAAAATTAGAATATCATGAAAAAGTAGATTGATTTCAGTAATTCCATTTAAAAAGTGAAACTTGTATATTATATTCATACATTACATACAAACTCATATATTTCAGATGTTTATTTTGTTTAATTTTGATGATTACAAATGACAACAAATGAAAATCTCAAATTCATCATATCAGAAAATTAGAATATTACTGAAGACCAATAAAAACAAAGGATTTATAGAAATGTTGGCCAACTGAAAAGTATGAACATGAAAAGTATGAGCATGTACAGCACTCAGTATTTAGTTGGGCCTCCTTTGGCCTGTATTACTGCAGCAATGCGGCGTGGCATGGAGTCGATCAGTCTGTGGCACTGCTCAGGTGTTATGATAGCCCAGGTTGCTCTAATAGTGGCTTTTAGCTCTTCTGAATTGTTGGGTCTGGTGTATTGCATCTTCTTCTTCACAATACCCCATAGATTTTCTATGGGGTTAAGGTCAGGAGAGTTTGCTGGCCAATTAAGAACAGGGATACCATGGTCCTTCAACCAGGTACTGGTAGCTTTGGCACTGTGTGCAGGTGCCAAGTCCTGTTGGAAAATGAAATCTGCATCTCCAAAAAGTTGGTCAGCTGCAGGAAGCATGAAGTGCTCTAAAACATCCTGGTATGTGGCTGCGTTGACCCTGGACCTCAGAAAACACAATGGACCAACACCAGCAGATGACATGGCACCCCAAACCATCACTGACTGTGGAAACTTTACACTGGACTTCAAGCAACGTGGATGAAGTGCCTCTCTTCTTTTCCTCCAGACTCTGGGACCTTGATTTCCAAAGGAAATGCAAAATTTACTTTCATCAGAGAACATGACTTTGGACCACTCACCAGCAGTCCAGTCCTGTTTCTCTTTAGCCCAGGCAAGACGCTTCTGACGCTGTCTGTGGTTCAAGAGTGGCTTGACACAAGGAATGCGACAGCAGAAACCCATGTCTTTCATACGTCTGTGTGTGGTGGTTCTTGAAGCACTCACTCCAGCTGCAGTCCACTCTTTGTGAATCTCCCCCACATTTTTGAATGGGTTTTGTTTCACAATCCTCTCCAGGGTGCGGTTATCTCTCTTGCTTGTACACTTTTTTCGACCACATCTTTTCCTTCCCTTCGCCTCTCTATTAATGTGCTTGGACACTGAGCTCTGTGAACAGCCAGCCTCTTTAGCGATGACCTTTTGTGTCTTGCCCTCCTTGTGCAAGGTGTCGATGGTCGTCTTTTGGACAACTGTCAAGTCAGCAGTCTTCCCCATGATTGTGTAGCCTATAGAACTAGACTGAAAGACCATTTAAAGGCTTTTGCAGGTGGTTTGAGTTAATTAGCTGATTAGAGTGTGGCACCAGGGGCCATCAATTTTGAACCTTTTCACAATATTCTAATTTTCTGATATGATGAATTTGAGATTTTCATTTGTTGTCATTTGTAATCATCAAAATTAAACAAAATAAACATCTGAAATATATGAGTTTGTATGTAATGTATGAATATAATATACAAGTTTCACTTTTTAAATGGAATTACTGAAATCAATCTACTTTTTCATGATATTCTAATTTTATGACCAGCACCTGTAGAGACACATAGAGAAGAATGAGAAGTGAAGAAATAGATAAAATAGCGGCAGATTGTAGGGACTGATTCACCATGGAGCTCTTCAGAACACTAATGGAGGTGATGTAGGACCAGGACTGATGTGAATGGGTCAAAAGCACATGTAGATGGTTCCTGGGCAATGAAAGTGGCCTCAACCACTTTTTTTCACAGACCTCTGGGATTGAACACAAGGCGAAACGATCCCACTCCTTTAATGAAATGCTTGTCAGGGTTAGAGTTACAAGGGTTATCTGAAATTATTGATAAAAAAATAGAGATGAAGATTCTTCGACGGACTTTGGATACATTTTCTGGTCCCCCTGACAGCTTGTGGATTGGCAAACAAGGGGATAAGAAGCACTCTGAAGCAGTTGATCAACTGACTTCATTTTCTTTAAACCAGGGGTAAACCTCATGGTTGAGTATACAAAGACAACCATATTTTCTACAACAGGGGCATGGTGGCAAAGGGTTTTATTTTCTAAGGAAAACCAGCAGTTTGCATTGAGCCATTGAATTGCACATTTCACTTATTCTAGATAAACATTGTCTATAATACAGCTACAATGGACAATTGATTGTCCATTGTAGCTGTATTATAGATACAATGGAGAATTGATTGTGTTTTGTCATTGCCATTGAATAAGGTGGGTAAGAGCAGAAAATCATTTAGGTCCAAATATTTTTTTTTAATTATGAAAAGCTGCTGCCATGAGTAAAGCTCGGTCCTCACTACCGATTATACACTGACTGGCCAAAAAAAAAGTTGCCACCAAAAAAAAAAGGTCACTCACTCTAATACTTGGACCGCCTTTAGCTTTGATTACAGCACGCATTCGCTGTGGCATTGTTTCGATAAGCTTCTGCAGTGTCAAAAGATTTATTTCCATCCAGTGTGGCATTAATTTTTCACCAATATCTTGCATTGATGATGGTAAAGTCTGACCGCTGCGCAAAGCCCTCTCTAGCTCATCCCAAAGATTCTCATTGGGGTTGAGGTCTGGACTGTGGTGGCCAATCCATGTGTGAAAATGATGTGTCATGCTCCCTGAACCAGTCTTTCACAATTTGAGCCCGATGAATCCTTGGAATATGCCTGTGCCATCAGGGAAGAAAAAGTCCATTGATGGAATAACTTGGTCATTCAGTATTCAGATAGTCAGTTGACCTCATTCTTTGAGCACATACTGTTGCTGAACCTAGACCTGACCAACTGCAGCAACCCCAGATCATAACACCGCCCCACAGGCTTGTACAGTAGGCACTAGGCATGGTGGGTGCATCACTTCACCT